GACTTGCTGGGTTCCGGCGATCCTTCTGCCTCAGCCTTCCCAGTAGCTGAAACTATAGGTGTGCACTACCACACTGGGCTAATTTTTTAATTTACTGTAGAGACGAGGTCTCACCATGTTGCCAAGGCTGGTCTTGAACCCACGGGACCAGGCAGTCCTCTTGCCTCGGCCTCCCAAAGTGCTGGGATTACAGGCTTGAGCCACCATCCCTGGCCATATCTACCTTTCAAAATGTGGACATCTGCATATGTCACCAACTCAAGCCACAAACCCACACTGGTGTTGACCAGACACAGACTGGGGGTGAGCGGACTTCCCTTGCACCTGATGGAAGTGCATGCTGGCAGACAGACGTCCTCTAAAACGCTCTTTCTGCGCTCCTGCTCTGACCCTGAATCCACAATCCAGTCCTGAGAATAGTGTACCCAGCCTGACGGGTTTGGAAGCACAGGTTGAGGGTCATGGCTGTCCTCAGTTCACAGAAACCGGGAGCCATGGATCTGTTCTCACCTGAAGAGGGTGCCCACACCTAAATTCACATGAGCTCCTCCAGAACGGCCCCCACCCACCACCCAGGACCACTCTCCTGGCAGCCCTGCGCCATCTGAGCAGGAGCCCAGTGCTCCCCAGATGCACCTGAGTTTCCAAACCTCACAAGAGCAGATACTACCACGGAGCTCCAGAAAATGCCCCAAGTTCCCTCGAGACCCCAACAAATGCCATGCACACTAAGAGAAGACCGAGGAAACACAAAGGTTAAACTTTCCAATAGGCTCAAGATAACAAGACCAGAGCCCAAGCTGCTGCGGTAATGGGGCTTGTGCCGTGCAGAGTGAACGCCCACAGGTGGTTCCTGCGAGAGCCTGAAGACACAAAGCTGGCAGCAAGGAGGGAGACGGACCTTCATCATCAGCCAGAGACACACTAGCTTTTCTTTTTCTTCCAGGCATTCCTGAATCCTGAAACACAGAAAAATCACAAGCATGAGCTCTAAACCCACAGAACAGGAAACCAAGGCAGAAGCACCTTGTGGGCTGTGCCCGTGGGACAGTGAAAGCCCTGAGGAAGCTTGCCGGGACAGCCCGGCCTCCACATGACTCAAATCAAAAGCCACTGTGTCAGCCGGATCATCCCAAACGGACAACCCATATGACACCAGAGCTACAGAGTGCCAGGTTATTTTCAAAGTAGATGGATTTGACCATGAAAAGGAGTAATACTCAAAACCTACACATTTCTCCAGATTAAAGCAAAGAGCTCCACTGACTAGAGCGTGTAATTCATCCACACTGCCTCCGTGCTTCCTCACAGCATGCAGTAACAATCCTGAACTTACCAGAAAGTTTTCTGGTAGCAAGTCCAGTCCCTTAGGTCTCCATTCTTTCCCTGAAGAGAAAGGAAGGTGGTTGGCGTCCCCAACAGCCACGGAGCAGGCACTGTTCCTCATGCTTGGCAAGGCTCGTCTAAGTTGTGCCTGCGCCGCTGTCCACGTGCAGGGCTAGGACAGGACATGCGAGGCTGGCCTCCCCTCCCGTGACCCGAGGCAATGGTTCTCATCATCTTCTGGCGCTACAACTTCCAGGAGCAGCCCCTCTCAGCCTCCATTTCCTCACAACAGGAGGGGCAGGACACCCGTCCCTGCCAGGGTCACTGTGAGACTCGAAAGAGACAGTAAACTCTGCCTCCATCAAGTGCCTGGCACAGACCAAGGAGACTGACTGGTGGGGCAGCTGCTGCAGAAATATCTGGAAGGAAGAACGACACAGAGACACTGCACAGCCAGACCCCTGGGTAAGCCCCGCATGGCGAGTGCCACAGTGAGTCCATTCTGTCCAGCGACCGACCACAGGGCGCAGGCTCAGAACCCCAATTCTGAGAGTGGCCCAGAGTTGATCAACATCAACTCAAACCAGCACATCTCTAAAGAACAGAAAAGGAAACTAGAATGGATGCACAGAGAGAAACATAACAACCAGCAGAGCGGATGCTCACAAGTAGCTGATGGGCAAGCACTCTCCCTGGGCTGGTGTCGGGTGAAGCCATGATGCCACGAGGCACCAGAGAGCAGAGGATCTGGACAAAGTGCAGCCTGAGATGCATGAAGCCCTTTCCTAAAGCATCATACCTCTCTTGGAAGCTCTCTGCAAATTTAAGGCCTTTTTCCTTTTTTCTTCTAATTCTACTTGTAGTTTTATTTCCACAACCTAAATGCAAAAAGTTAAATATATAAGCATATTACTAAGGGTGTAAATTGTACAAGTCCTGCATGTAAAAATGTTAAAACTCACAGATACAGCCTAAAAGCATAATGTCCAACCTCATTTCAAATTACTTTTTTACTGTAGCCTGCCTAAATTCTATTAGGTAGTAAGATAAGAATTAAAATTTTTAACAAGCAAGAAAGAAAACAGTCACTCTGTTTTTGTTTTTTTCTTGAGTCAGAGTCTCACTCTGTCGCCCAAACTAGAGTGCAGAGGCATGCTCACAGCCACCACAGCCTTGACCTGCTGGGCTCAGGGGATCCTTTTACTTCAGCCTCCCAAGTAGCTGGAACCACAGACATACACCACCACATCCAGTTGACTTTTTTATTTACTGTAGAGAAGAGGTCTCACCAAGTTGCCCAGGCTGGTCTCAAACCCGTGGGCTCAGGCAACTCTCTCGCCTCCACCTCCCAAAGTGCTGGGATTATAGGCATGAGCCACCATGACTGGCTGAAAACAGCCACTCCGGATGTCCGCTGCCTTTAGTGACTCACACCAATACTCAAAATAATGGTCTGCAGGGCTCCTCGCCACAAGGTCAAAAATCTCAGAGCACATGGTCACAGTTGACCATGTGTCATGTGAAGACAGACAGAGGCAAGAGCACGCTTTTGTGAAACCCTCTAAAAGGCCAAAAGCCCAGGAAGGAGCAAACAGGGCCAAGGCTTCACACCTATGAGCTTCCTAAACCACAGCACTTTTGCCTTCTGTCTCCAGGGTTATCTCACAGTCAGGCAGCCTCACCAGCTCAGAGAAGTCTGGTTTTTATGACCCCATTAAAACTGCAGAACATACCTGTTCAATGTTTGACCAAAAATATTCTATCTCTCGGGCGGCCGAGGCAGCTATACGCCTCAGTCTGCTCTGTTCTTCTTTCCTTCCCCTTTCTTCACGAAGTTTCTTTTCTTCATGATGGCGTGCTACAGTTCTAACAAGCTAGCAAATAAAAGTTCAAGAATTTTAGGTGGTACTCTATGTCATGCTAGAAAAAAAAGGATACATCAAGCTTTTAAAAATCTTCTCAGCCTAAAATTAAATACAATTAATTCCGTCAGATACATTCTCAAGTGCTCTTAGGGTACACTAGGAGAAACATTAACACAAGCATAAGCCACCATCAATGTTTCTGCTTAACTATTCTAGAAAGTGTTATTTTACTGACTACACATATCTTTCTCAAAAAATGAAATACCATACTGCACTACAGTCTTCTTTCCCCACTCAACATATGAACATCTCCTCTCCATTCAATAAGCGTACATCAACATCATTTTTAATAGGCCATACCATATTTCATTTCAAGAATACTGCAAAACTGATTTAGTCCTAAGTGTAAAAACTGTGGGGTAAGGATAATTCACATCTTTAAAGCTTTTGCTTTAAATTGCCAAACTGCTTTCCAGAAGTTTACAGCCTTTATATACCCACCGGCAGAACCTCAAAAAGGTAATGAGACACAAGTTAAAAAGAGCACACCGTCAGAGCCCTGGGAGCATGGTCACCATCAGCCCACCCGCTCCAGTAGGGGAAGGGCACCCGACTGCCACGCAGGCTCTGTGCATAAGGCCCTGCTGTCACTCATCCCCAGCGAGTCCCACAACTGCCAGCCCGGGCCCCGAGGGCATAGGGGCCATTCTGCAGCCCCTCCCTGTCTACCGCGCGGAAGGAACGAGGCAGGAGTACAGCTCACGTGCTCAGAGCAACCACCAGCCTGCTCCTCAGCCCACCCCCCCAGCCCCTGTCAACTAACCTCACCCTGTCACGGTCAGCATCCATGTGACCAGACTGACAGCCACATGCCCAACCCAGTATCCACATGTCCAGCCCAGTGTCTACCTGTCCAACTTGGTGTATACCCATCCAGCCTCCTGTCCTGTGAGCCTGGTGTTTTCCTGTTGAACTCAGTGTCTACCTGTCCAGTCCAGTGTCCACATGTCCAGCCCAGTGTCTACCTGTCCAACTTGGTGTCTACCTGTTCAGCCTTCTGTCCTGTGAGCCTAGTGCCTACCCATCCAGCCTCTCATCTTATATGCCCAATATCTACATATTTAGGACCACCTTCATTTATGAAAAAGGAAGAGCTTAAGGAATGAGCTGGGTTTTTTTTCTGGAATACTCATGAATCTGACTTGACGCCCTTTATATTCAGAACCGCACTCCCCACTGCTCCTCCCATGTGGTCTTAATTTCCTCTCAGGAAAGCAAGGGGAAGAATTCAGGGAAGCAAAGTGGACAGGGAGGGGACAAAGGACCCACCCCTACCCAAGGAGTACAGGGACCATGAAGGAAGAGCTGCAGGTCCTCGAAATAGAGACAGTGATACAGTAACGACAGGGGAACAAGCAGGGCCACAGGTAGCCACACAAGGAAAGGACAATTGCTTCCTACCCTGCGGCCGGAGCCTTCTAGAAACATGTCACTTGACTTCACTTTACTAGTATTAGTAGGAGGACCTCCAGAGATTATCCCAAGGACTGTGTGCCTGCTTTGGGAACAGTACGAAGAAAATAAAGCTAGCAGCCTGGGCAGGAAGAACAGAAGGGTAATGGGGAGGCAGGAAAGCCTGGGGATGGGCCCTGACCACCCCTCGGCCCACTCAGGCTACCTTCTGAGTCCCAGCCTCCTCGGTCCACTGAACAGATCAGGGCAGCCGCCTGGCCCTGGGTGCTGAAGGCATCCTGATTCCAACAGCCAGGCTTAAGGAAACTAACTTCCTCACTCTAGCAGTCTACACTGAGCTCTGAAGACAGACAGTAAGGACACAGCATCACTGCTCTCCCAACAACAGGGCAGCATCCTTACCAGACCTCCTGAGGCAAGGTCTGTGGAAAACTGGGCTGGAGGCTGCCCACCACTCACAGTGCCCCCACTGCAGTCACCCCCTCTGGACACAGCACAGCGGTTGCCTGCATTAAGCCCACCTTCTTCGCAGCAGCCACCTTCCACCTCCTCTCCTGGGCGAAGTCTGTGGCCATCCACTGCATCTCCTCCAGCAGGTAGTCCCAGTGGGATTTGGGGCGTGGGGCCTCCTGCAGCTTGGGCAGCCGCCTCAGAGACCACAGGCCTTCCTTCCTTAAATCTGCTATGCGCTGATGCACCTGGTTTTCCTGCAGCAAATGAGGGAGGCAGGGATCAATAGGTATTGATGAAGTTCCTTTGACCAACTCTGACCACAAGTATTTGCAGCCCTACTATGTGAAAGCCTCATTTAGGGAGAGACAGAGCTTGAGGAGGTCACAGATGAATAATAACATAAGACGAGGGCAACAGAACTGACTTTCTCCACAAGTCTACGGTCACCAGAAAAGTTTAAGCCTTGGTTTTAATCTTGTCTCTGTTGATCACAAACTACGTTCGGTTGTTCAGTTTTAAACTATCACATTCTTAAAAGTTAAAACCAAACATGCTTCACAAATTGGAATACATTTCAACATCTTCTTGAACACACTTACCAGTGTTATCTGTTCCGCCAGCGTATCCTGAGAGTTGTCTTGGGATGAAGTGGCACTCTGAGCAGGACTCTGTGGTTTGGGGGTGGCCAACACAGCTGCCCCCGGGGCCCGGGACGTGACGGGAGACAATGCCTTGTTGGCTGCTGAGGAGGGTCTGCTTACTGGAGAGGAACGAGCAGGCGAGGGTCCTGGGCCTGAGCCACTCACGGGTGTGAGGGACGAGGTAGAGGAGGAGCTGGGCAGAGATCGCGGGCAGGGAGGGGTAGGATCCACAGGTGGCCTTGTCGACACCGCCGTCTAACAGGCAGAGGACAGGTGAAGAAAGGTCAAGACACGTCAGGACAGTCCCCAGCACCCAAACACCAGAAAGCGCTCACACCATCAGAGACAAGCCCGACCAATGCCTTCTTCTCCATATCAGTGCAAGCGAACAAAAGAAATCACATCCACAGGGATAAACTCTCACATTTCAATAATCAGCCTGAACATGAATAAAAATAAAAATAAATAAAAAAGAAATCATGTTCACAAGCCACAACTAAAAAAGCCACATACTAAACTATGTCTACAAAAAACAATATATTTTACTTCCACAAAACCAAACAAGAACTCTCACTATAAACTGTCTTGCTTTTTCTTTTTGTTGTTGTTACTTTTTCCAGCCTTTTCTCCACTATTTTTTTTTTGGACAGGAAAATATAGTTCATTTAAAAAGTAAATTAGAGCCGGGCTCGGTGGCTCAGCCTGTGATCCCTCACCTTTGGGAGGCTGAGGTGAGTGGATTGCCCGAGCCCGCGGGTTTGAGACCCGCCTGGGCAGGCGAGACCTCATCTCTACAATAAATCAAAAAAATTAGCCAGGCGTGGTAGCGCGTGCCTGTAATTCCGGCTACCTGGAAGGCTGAGGCGGAAGGATCGCCAGAGCCCAGCAGGTCGAGGCTGAGGTAGCTGGGAGCGGCCACTGCACTCCAGTCTGGGCGACAGAGTGAGACTCCAACTCAAA